CAAATGGTGTTAGATATTGACAGACATGATCGAATAATTTAATTACTCCTTGTAAACCAATCAACGAGTACCTATAGCGGACGAAATAGGGGAGTAAAACGCGAAATTGCGAAATTCGGAGGTTGTGTGGCCTCACCAAAGGCTCTTTGTCCGGCGGCAACCACACACTCACTCAAAACCTAGCCTAACACCCTAGTTTCAAGCTTTATGCAAGATTCGCTGGTACCTAGTTCGAATCGCTGGTGCATCGTTCGATTCGCTAGCGATTCGCTCGATTCGCAAAGTATGACGTCGGCCTTAGCGCGATCGATGCGTCGCGCACTGCACGTGACTACTCCAGCAGGAACGTCATAACTCACGCTTCCCTCCGCGTGCTCACCTGCCAAACGGTTAGTTACTCAGCGCTATTAGGGGGGGGCGGAATGCGTGAAAGGCACGTTGCACATGGCAGGACGGAAACGCCAGGTATACCATGAATGGTAAGCATGGCGGCACACAAGGGAGGACCTCGGCGGCTTTGCCGCGCGCTTTCGAGTCGCTGCTTCTATGCTTGGGACCATTCTTTCTACTCAAGAGAGTGACTAGCTCTTGGCACCTGATCCGCGAATTTAAGAAGTGGCACATGGCTTTAAAACATGAAAAGATCCACTTTAATGACCATTTCATGTTTGGGATTTACCTACTATCTACCTATGTTAAAATTTCAATGTTGACGTGCTCGTCGAATTTATCCAGAATGTGAGACAAAAATATTTGCCTTGGGTCTCAATCTGGAGTGCGCCACGCCTACGACTTGTATAGTGATTGCTTTCGAGTCAAACTCACCTATACAGTGCGTGCGTGCGACCAGTTCTTATATGAGTTTCTTTTCAGGATTTTTAACATGAGTTGTCAAAAAGCTGGCCTATAGGCGGTAGAAGAAAGGTTGTTCCGAGTTTGACCTCGTACCCCCGGAGTTCAACTTTGATGAGGGACTTTGAGTAATCACATCAGTATATCTCCTCGCTGTTATTATTTATATGTATTAATACACAGATCATAATGAATATGTACTATCGTTTAAGCCATGCTCTAAAAACGTGGCGAGTGCGCGATCGTGGTGGCAAGCTTATGTCTCGTAAGGTGGTGAACCTTACCCAAGCTTCTTCTTGTATTTTTTCTATTGTTTCATTAGATAGCTTCCTGGCCATTAACTCGGATTTCCATAGAGGTAGAGTCGGTGATGAATTCTAAACGGTTATTTTTATATTAGCTAATAAGATTGATCGTTAAATCTAACAACGTTTGCTTTTCGCACTTGTACCTTCAACCAATATCTATATGTAGAAACGTGGGCTTTTTGGAAGTTGAGAGAAGTTTATATACTTTTATATTATTATTATTATTATTATTATTATTATTCACTTACTCATTCAATTTTGCGAAATTCTGTAATACCCCCAAGTAGTTGTCTGATGGTAATAAGAGGAGGGGGATGGGAAGCCTATCCACTGTAATAGTTTGGTAAGAGTCATCCAGTGGAATCCCTGCCAAAGGAACCATTTGTTTGCCAATTTTGAACTGACTGAGAGGACTGGGGTCATTTTTGTCTTTTGGAGAAAACTGGAGCGGTCGACATAAGGGTAAAATGAATATTGAAATTTCGAATCTCTTTCGCTGCAGAATGAAGTGTATGGAAAATGCGGATTACTGTTGCAGGAATATAAGGTAATTCAGGACGGGGCTGTGTAATGGGGGAATTCCTCGCGGTAGCGGGAGGCAAGTCGTATAGTTGTTTAAGTCGTACGCGACCATTAAGCGTTCGCCACAGACAGGTCGAACAAAAAAATAACACTACCCTAGTTAGGAGAAGTAGTGGCTTCCAGCTCAGTTAGATATCAATTGGAGAATTGAACAAAGCAGGTTTCTGCAACTTTCGACGTTATCATGATAAATATTCTTAAGGTTAATTACTGGATTTTCCCGAGATAAATATTGGTTGGGAAGCTTAAAGTATATTCTTCATTTTAATATATGTATTTTTCCATCTCAAATTACTTACTGCTTTTGAGTAAATTTAATGGCTAAGTAACTAGCATTATGGTTCCTTTGAGAGTTTATCAAAAAAGTTTATGAAGATGCCAAGTCAAGGCGCTTTGTCAGTGCTGCTGCGCAACCGCTCGCGACTAGTAGTAGTGAATTTCATAGAAACAATTCATAGTCTCACTGATTATGTTGATTTTTGAAGTGAACAACACTCTAGATATTCCAGAGTTTTTCTACTTTGAAAGAAAAAATAATAGATACCATTCTTCGCTTGAAATATTCTGGAGTGTAGAGTCGAACGGCCTTCATCAACTTTACGCTCAGTCTGAAGAGGATACGATAGAGATCGAATGTGGAGGAAGAACACGAAAGCGTCCTACCTCCCTATATTTTTCTTCGACCATCAACTTTCTGCGTTCGTTTCCATCCGCCACATAACTAATGAAAAATGCAATGATTTTAAAACATTCAAATTTTCACTGAAGAAAAAAGTATTGGTTTGACATCTCACTTAAAGGAGGAATTCACGATTAGAATGAAGGTCGAAGAAAGGGAAACTGACCTAGTTGAGGGACCCACGGACCTCCTGAGGGTGCGAACTGACGCGCAATTCGCATGGAAAAATTTGACCTCGGCGACCTATCATGCCTCAAAGCTGGCGGGTCCGGCGATCTCCGCCCACCGATCATCTGATCACTCGCCGCCCGAGTCTTTATTTTTTTTTTTCATTTTTTTTTTCAATACGTGGCGAGTGATTAGATAGCTGAGAGAGCGTAGTGTTGAAGAGGGCACAGCGATGAGAGTCGCATCAATGCTCGAATCAACGGGCAAGGAAGGGGTCCCATTTCTCGGGTTCTGGGCCGTTTCTCATGGTTCTTCCTTCTTTCGTGTACCACTCACCATCCCTAGGTTAATTTGAAATGGGTTGCTTTTTCATCGTGAATTCGTCCTTTAAATTCAGCTGTGCATGGCTGAGAGGGCAGGGCGGTTTTGATGACGTCATTGGGCGTCATCGGTAGCAGGACGGTATTAGGTGTGATTTGGAGCCACCTCTCAATTCCTTTTCACCGACGATGTCCATGACGAATATAAACGCTCCGACCTCTAATCTCATTCATTCACGACCTTCACCAACTTTTTGTATAGTTCGATTACGATTGAGCTCTTTTACTGTTACTGGCACCGTACTGGGATAAATTTTACCTTTGCGATTGGCGAACGGGTGATGTTGGTACGTTACGTCTTAATTGAACAGTTATAGGTGAAGTTGATCTTGCCGAACTTCCTCTTCTTAGTACGACAAATTGGATGTCACTGGAAAAAACTTTGCCCTTTTAAGTGAATGGAAACTCGTTTTTCAAAGGATAGAATGGAGATAAAGGATAAAGCATTTGCCGTTGATCAATCCCTTTTTGGGATGCGGCACGCATTCTACTTCCATTTGTACATTCGTAGTGGCGTTTGAATGCGATGTGGCCTATACAATGACTTGCGGGGGCCAGCCGATGTTCAAGTCAGTGTTTTTATCCTCCCAGACAAGTCTGGTACCAATTAACCGACCCCGGAGGGATGGAAGGCTTGGTTGGCCCGGGCGACTCACGACCCAGGATTTGATCCCGGACCGCTCGCGTGGTAAGCGCGCCACTTGTCACTACACCACTTCCGCCCTATTCTCAAAGGTGCAAGGTTATTATGCATAATCGAGCAGATGCACCGGTGACACTGTATTTCCTGATTCCGAACCTATTTTTTTTCGCATCCTCTGAGTCCCATGCTCATGAAGAAATCTTTGTTTTTTCGGAGTGTGTGAACACTAAGGTAGAAAGGAAAGTTTGATTGCATAAATGGGGTCTTGGTGATAAGGTCACACAAGACGTGAAAAGGGACTGAAACGCGCGCTTCCATTCGAAGGGAGCTTAACTCTCACACACGGATGAGTCGATGGAGCTACTTTATGAACGCCGGTTCATTCACGGTGTTGAGAACTAGTATCTCAGCCTCTTATCAGTTCCAGTGATATTTGTACCACCCTCTTCCTTATACTCCTTGATCACTCACTGATAATTCATTTTTCTTAGTTCCGAAGGTACTGACCAGGAATCTGTTCCGGAGATCGTCTTGCTTCTCTTTGCTTCACTACGGCAGCATTCGGAATCAAATTTGGCAGGGAGCGACCATGTCTTATCTGTAATGAAGTGATTATCAGATGGTGTTGTTCTACAGTACCTGTGGCAACTTTCGAGATGTTATTACTCAGCCCTAACCGTCATTCTGATCTTGCGCAAAGTATCCGTTTAGGACTTGCTGGGAAACATTATTGGATACCATATCACGCTATGCTTTCAAAGTTGAGAAAATTTAGTGGCACTACTGATTTTTCTTCTTTCCAAAGTAAATCGCTTATCAGGGAGTGTTTATCGTGCAACAGTGAGGTTTCGAAGCCAGAATGTACCATAGTAATCTATTAACTATTTTTTTTCAACGCTACAATTTTTCTGTAATTCTAGAAGCGAATTTATTAACATTCGTGTAAGAAGCGTGATTGGAGTATTTAATACACAATAGAGTGTAACTTGTACTTTATCTGAACTGGAAAACGTGCTGGCTTCCGAACACGTCGACTGGTGAGCTCATGCGCCTCTTCACGCCAGTTCCTAATGGAACCCCTGCACTGTATGCACAATAATCGCATCAGTGCTTGCAGTAATTTAAAAGCTGCGTACGGTGACTCGGCGTTTTAGAGAGGTAGAGATCAGGAGATAGCGAGGATTGGAAGTCTATGTTGGAAAAGATTTAGAATCGGTTTATGATCGCGGCGAATAGACAGTGAGATTGAGCGTTCGGGCCAAGTAATTCTAGATGCGTCCATCTTTTTTCTTATTGATCTCCTATTTTCTATCCCGCCAGAAAATCAATGCACATCTTTTCATTATGTTTGATCTTCTAGTTCTGCCAGTCTCGATGGCTGGATTTTCGCTTTATAGGGAATTCAGAGCTGCTTTTATCCTTCTCTTCCTTTTTCTTTTTCTCTTTGTCTCATTTTCTTATCTCCATCCTGGAAACTACTTGTCTGCTGTCTATGTGAGAAAAACATCAAAACTAAAGCAAAGGGAGCAAGACGTCCAGTCGTTGGATTTTCGAAATCATGTCGTGAGCTTAACATATACTGCGTAACCTCGTTTTGACGCTGAAGCACTCCAGTAGACCCAGGCAACTGTAACTCCTGCGTCTCTGCGTGGTCGCCGCGCGTTAGGCTGGTGTCAGATTTTGGTGAATTCGAGCGGACTTCGCTTGTTAGCTTTTTTGCGCAGATTCATTGGATTCGCTACTTGCGATTCGCTCAAATAGCTAAAGTGAGCGAATCAGCAATCCGCCCTATTAAGTGTCCACCGGCACCATACTAAGGGAGGTCTCTTCAAGCAAAGCTCCGCGCTTATACGAGCTCGCATATTGTAGGGACGCATGTATGGACCACAAAACCGTGTTTCGTTTTCGCTGAACGGTTTTAGTAGTACCAAAAAAGTGGTGAATGATACCCTCGATGGTTCGGTCCCCCGCGGCGACTAAATTTTGCAATCAAGGTTGGCGGCCACTTGGTGACTTCTATTGTGATATTTAGCGCGATTTGGCACCAAACCGTAGGCGCCAACCCAAATGCAAAATTTAGTCGCCACGGGGGATCGAACCCTTAACAGTACCTTATGCTTCTTTTTGGTACTGCTATAACCGTTCAGCGAAAATGAAACATGGTTTTGCGTTCCCTACATGCGTCCCTACAATATGCACAAAACCGTTTTGAAAAAGCGCGGCTTGCCCTGAAAGACCTCCCTTGTTAGGTAAAGCCATTCCCTTTGAGAGCAAATTACGGAAGTTACGTTGTGTTTTGATTGTGATTTCTGCTGTGCTGCGTCTCTGGCTCATCGCTCGTCACATCAGTGCTCCCTTTTTCAAAAAACTGGTTCTGCAAGAAACTAACTTTTTCAACAATCACCATGGAGATGAAAAAATTATCGGGACAATTAGAGCCGATCAACCCCCTGGTTACAATTGTTTCAGAAGAGAAAATGGAAAAAAAGAAAAGAAATCGAGTTGCAATGTGTCAAGTAGAATGTGTCCTTCTTGCGAGCCGCGGTAGAGTTTCTACGGATAAAGGTGATAATCATTTGATTGGTACATACCTCTAGTCTGCTCATTCTTTGTTGCAAAGTCAGCTCCTCGTTATCTAGCAGATGATCCAAGTCCTCCAACACAGAGGCGCTCTCTTCGACAGTATCCCGACGGAACTTCCCTACACCGGCGGGTCTATTTCTGAAGTTGGTAGTGGTTTAACACTCATTTTTATGAATCTTCATAAATTCCGATTCAATTCTCACTCTGATGGATATCTTCCGTAATGGTTAATGCCAGCTGTAGTTTGTCGTTGTTTCGGCCTGAAATAATCCGTTTTTTAAATTTGAGCATATGCGAATATCACTGCATACAGTATCTTCCAGTGAATGCTGAAAGGCGCTGCTTCCCACTGCGTTTTCGCCGCATAGCAGTCCTTGTGACCAAACCTCCGATGAACAAGAGTTACAGAAAATCGTAGACATTGACAAAAAGGCAGAGACATACTACATCCCGACTTCTGACCTCACTGCCCCACGATAAACACTCCCTGATAAGCGATTACTTTAGAACGAGAAAAATCACTAATGCCGCTTAACTTTCAGTTTGGAAACATAGCATGATACGGTATCCACTCATGTTTCCCAGCAAGTCCTAAACGGACACTTTGCACAAGATCAGAATGACGGTTAGGGCTGAGTAATAACATCTCGAAAGTTGCCACAGGTACTGTAGAACAACACCATCTGATAATCACTTCATTACAGATAAGACATGGTCGCTCCCTGCCAAATTTGATTCCGAATGCTGCCGTAGTGAAGCAAAGAGAAGCAAGACGATCTCCGGAACAGATTCCTGGTCAGTACCTTCGAACTAGTAAAATGAATTATCAGTGAGTGATCAAGGAGTATAAGGGAAGAGAAGGTGGTAAATATCACTGGAAACGAGGAGCTGAGATACTAGTGTTCTCAAACACGTGAATGACCCGAGGGTTCATGAAGTACGCTCCCAATCGTCTTCATTCGTGTGTGAGAGTTAAGCTCCCTTCGAACAGGAGCGCGTTTCAGTCCCTTTCACT